CAGAAATTAATAGAAAATTGTAATAAAAAATGTGCATGTGATTAAAATAAAATCAGTATTTATTATTAATGAGAATACTCCAATATGAACAAAAATCAGCACAAAGTTCGACAAACGCAGTATTCTCAACAATACCTAAATATATAACCACCTCTTCATTAACACTGTTATATTATATCTAACAGTTCCAGCTTTAATAGTCTATCATATTAAAAAAAAAACAAAGTAAACAATTAATTTTCATGGCTTCAACAGTTTAGCTTTAGTAACAYAGCGGACGTAATGATTTATTGTACYCCAATATYYCTCTGTCTTTCAACATTGACTCTGCTGAACGCTCATATTAATCACAAATTAATTACCGCGATACCGCGATTGAGTGAATTGATAATCAGCTATTTCGGGGAATCTATAACCAAAGGCCTAGCTATACCAAATGTAATTAATACTCGTAATAGGACGGCGAGGCGTATGAGTAACAATGCCTCATGGCAACTATTGTAGTTAGTAGGATTATATAGCATGTAATATCGTATAGGTAAGTGAAATATTATTAATTATGATTTAGTTCTACTTAAGGGGGTTTTGTGTAAATTAAGTTTAAAACCAGTTTTAACATAACCACTTACCAAATAGCAGGTATATTAAATCCGAGACTGCCAGACTGAATAAGTAATAGTTCGTTGCCGTGTGCATTGTTGGATGGCGTATAATAACCACACACACCAGAATGTTGCCCAGCATGCCGGTTATGAATATTCCACCGAAAATTATTGTAATCTGAAAGAAAAAGTATAGAGAATAGAAAAGGGCGCAACAATTATTATCATTTTACTGTATGAGCTGATATTTACTATACTTATACATAAAGGCAAGCCATAATTATTATTCTGTACTACAAAGAATCAAAAGAATTCGCAGGCAAGTAAATAGACTAAAAATCACGTCAATTTATGCAAAGAATTTGTAGACTATATATGTATACATCGTCACCTTATATGCAAAATAACATAATATCACTTTTATAAGTTTACAAGCGAAGGAAAAACGATATAACAGAAACCACTGATATTGAAACAAAATTTGAGTCTTAGTCGTTAAGTGGTTATATATTGGTTATCATACACTCACATTGAAACAAAATTTGGGGTTTGGGTTTAAAATGGATTATTATATCTGTCAGCGATTTTCGATTGATGATATGCTGTTTTGAATTTTATGTGACGATGTATACATATATTAGGGTGTCATTTATTTTCCAAGTTGTTTGCTTTTTTCTTTCAAATTTCCAACGATATTTTTGATATTTTGCATTATTCAAGTAAATCTACATTCTTGAAAAATTGATTATCTAACTCAATATTTTCCACATCACAAAAAATTCTGAAAAATCAAGTGTTTACTATACAAGAGCTATAAAAAATGTTCATTACAAAGTGGTAGGAAATTTTATTTTTATTTAAAAAAGGCCGAAGGTCAAAATCGCTATCATTTACACTTCTCGAGATATTCAGCGTTTTAAGTAAAGCTTTATAGAATTTTCGTAGGTGGTGTGTAATAAAAAATCAAATCTATGAAAATTCCATACAGCCTTACTTAGAAAGGCAAATATCTCGAGAAGTAGTAATGATGGCGATTTTGACCTCGGCCCTTTTTTGTAGCAAAAAAAATTTCCTACAAGTTTGTCACGTATATTTTTGCTAGAGCTCTAGTCATTTACGAGATAAATACAAAAAAAA